TAACAGGGTAGGTTATGTCCCCCTCCTCCAGTGTCCTGGTTGATGACAAGGTAAGACAAAGAAGTGATGTTGGTAAACTGGAGGAGAAAAAAGAGTGTAAGCATATATATTGCCCCAAAGTTATACCCTCCCCCTAAAACTGGTTAATAAATATTAGCAAAAGAAATTTGTGTATGTCTTACACATGCATTGTGGATGCTAAAATTGCCCTTTAACTTCAGCCCTCGCCTCCTGCCTTCCACAAACACACACACACACGCACACACCATCATCTCCTTGAAATCATCTCATTTGGCTTGACCTCAGCCCACTTTGCTACAGTTATGTCAGCCTCCCTGCTGCTCTGTAAACTCTCTAGTACTTTCCTGACTCAGGGCCTTGGCACTTGCTTTCCTACTACTTGAAATAATCCTCCCCAAGCAACCAAATGGCCCATTCCTTCACTTCCTTTATGTCTCTACTCAAGTGTCATAACATCTGTGAGCTCAACCCTGACCTCCTCACAGCCCCTACCGATGCCTGGCACGTAACGACAAATTTCAAGTGATTAAGTGTAAGCTCCATGTAGGCAAGACCTTCATTCTATTTACTGCTGTAATCTTGGCAAAAAGTAGATATTCAATCAACATTATGAGAATTAAAGAGGAAGAAGTAGTGAGGCTAAAGAGAACATACTCTCCTCTGAGTATAAGTCAGGGTGGATTTTGTATGATTGAGAATCAAACAAAGGTAAAAATAAAAGAAATATTTTCCATGATTCCCAGGACTCAATGTCTATGTTTGTTTATCTAAGCATTTTCCCCCTAGTAATGTATCATATGGACTTATTATCTCAAAATTTAAAGAAATAGTCAGGAATTATAAAATAATTTCAATACAGTAATATAGTACACACATCATTTGGAAATATTCTAGGTGGAGAGAGTTGAGTTTATTTTGCTGATATTAATGCAAACATTTCATCCACTGTTCCTTTTTAGCACAGAAGGATATCTGTAAGTAGTACCTCTATTTTGATAAAATCTTGGTTCTACTGCTTAGTGTCATGAGTTAAAGCCCTGAGGATCATATCCTTAGTAACTGATCATCACATAGAATAAACAGGATTATCCCCATTTCAAGAAGTTACTAACTAGCAGGACAATCTGACTTTTAAGACCTTCCAGTGTGTAAGTAGATCAAGAGCAGAGAGGCCAGGCCACATAAACACAAGCTAGATGCCAAACCTCTGACTCCAAGCTCTGAAGGAAGAAAATGTAGAAAGTGCAAGTAGCCTCCAAGGATTGCCCGAGGCTTTAGTTAATGTCTGCAAAGAATTTTCAAGATGAAAGCCATCACAGAAGAGCTAAATCTTACTATCACCACAGCTGGAATGCTTTGCTAATATTTTTCCTAATGCAAGAAAGTGACTTTGGAACAAATTCCATAAAAAAAGGACTAATAGTCTTCCAACAGAGAAGCTTCTACTCACTTATGATGTTATCAAAGACACCCTGGGGACAGCCAAGGCTTGCCTGTGTGTAGGGCTCTATTGCCATCATGAAGGTGCATCTTTAANCAACAGAGAAGCTTCTACTCACTTATGATGTTATCAAAGACACCCTGGGGACAGCCAAGGCTTGCCTGTGTGTAGGGCTCTATTGCCATCATGAAGGTGCATCTTTAACATAATGTGATCAAGGCGGCAGCCTGTGGGCATGCAACACTCCTTTTAATTAGTTAGGAGGGAGCCAAGAAAAACCCTTCCTGACATACCGGTCCAGCACTCCACTATATTTGCTCCTGCAGATCAATACCAATATAGCAGGCATGTCAAACCACAAGGAAAGGCTGACTCTAATAAAACAAACCTTATATTGACCCCCTAACACTTCATACTGGTATTGAGTATGGTCTTTTTATAGGCTTTAGATATAGTTCACCCTAAAAAAAGAAAAAGATTCTGCATACTAAAATATAAATAGAGTTGCTAACTTTTATGGTTCTATTCATTTAGATAACAATAAAATTTAGATAATAAATTTTGGAGGTAGCAACTCTTAGTGTTAGAAACATGGCATTAAACAAAATAGAAAATAATTTCTGTTCTCAGGGAGTTTACTACTCCAATTGGCAGAAACACATTATATAAAATCACAAAATTATATAACATTTTAGAAATTGGAAGTATAGTGAAGAAAAAGTTTAGTGAAAGGGAGATAAGATGTGGAATAGAGGGTATATGTTGGCATTTTAAACAGGGTAGTTATGGTAGGCTTTACCACGAAGGAAAAATTTGTGCTCATATAAAAAGTAAACTCAAAATGGATTAATAACCTAAATATAAGAGCTAAAACTTATGAAACTTTTAGAAGAGAACAAGGTCAGAAATCTTTATGACCTCGAATGTGATAACTGAGTTTTAGATTTAACACCAAAAGTAATGAATAACAAAAGAAAGCAATCAGACTTCATTAAATTATAAAAACTTTTGTGCATTAAAGGACATTATTAACAATGTGAAATGACAACCTAAAGAATGGGAGAAAATATTTCCAAATCATCTATCTGTTGGGAATTTACTACTCTGAATTCTTATGACTCAACATCAAAAAGACAACCCAATTTAAAAAAAAAAAAAGACCAAAGGACTTGAATAGACATTTCTCCAAAAAAAGATACACAGATGGCCAATAAGCAAGTGAAAAGATGTTCATCACTGATCATTAAGGAAATGCAAATCAGAGCTATTGGGAGATACTTCTTCATGCCCACCATACTTTAAACAAAATAATACAAAATCCAATATTATTCGGCCATAAAAGGAACAGAGTATTGATACACACTATAATTAGCATGAATTTCAAAAACACTATGCCAAGTGAAAGAAGTCAGACATAAAAGTTTACATATTATATTTTTGCAGTTATTGTATAATTTATTTCATATCCAGAATATGCAAATCCATAGAGACAGAAAGCAGATTAGAGGTTACCAGGGGATGGGGTAGGGAGAATTGGGAGTTATTACTTAATATGCATGGGTGTTTTTAATGAAGTTATGAAAGAGCTCTGAAATAGAGCAGTGAAGTATTCAAGACTGTGAACACACTAAGTACCACAATACTGTGTACTTTAGAACGGTTAAATACATGTCATGCAAGTTTCACCTCAAATGAAAAAACAAAGACTTTTTTTTAGGATCACATAGTATGTTTTATATTTTACTTTCAGTTATGCGTTCATTTCAATCTTTAATCTAGTTGCAACATTTTAGTATTTTTTTTAACATAGCTTTATTGATACAATTCACATACAATAGAATCTACCCATTTTATACGTATATTCTGGTGAGTTTGGGCAAATGTATGTAGTTCAACAACCACAACAGTCAAATTTTAGAAAGCATTCAACACCCCAACAGTTCCTTCAAAAGTTATGGTCAATCCCCAAACCCAGGTTTTTTGTCATTAAAATTCTGCCTTTTCTAGACATACAAAACTCTAGGAAAGGTAAAATTATAATGACAGACATTTCACATTTCACATTAAACAGTATGTGATCTTATATGCCAGGTTCCTTTCACTTAGTATTTGAGGTTCATTTATGTTGATTTATGCATCAGTACATTATTTGTTCCTTTAAAATTTTCAATAATTTACTGCATTAAGTTTATCCATTTACAAAGTAAAGTCACTAGATTATTTTTATTTTTCAGTTAGTACAAATATTGCTTCTATGAATACTTACTTGTAAGACTTTTGTATAGACAGAAGTTTCCATCTCCTTTTAGTAAATACTGAGTAGAATTATCTGTTTTTATGTTTAACTTTTTATTAATAACAAACTGCTGAATATTCCCAAAATGACTGAACCATTTTTTATTTTCACCAGTAATACATGAGGCCTCCAGCTGCTCCCCATTCTTGGCCAACACTTAGTATTGTGAATTTTTTAAATTATAATTATTCTGGAGGATGTAGAGTAGTTCTGTTTGTGGTTTTAATTTGAATTTCCCTAATAACTAATGATGTCAAGCATCCTTTCATGTGCTTATTAACCTTTGTGCATCTTTTCTTGTATAGTATCCATTTGTATCTCTTGAACATTTTAAATGAGCTGTTTTTCTTATTCTTAAATTTTAACAACTCTTTAAATATCCCAGCAAACATTTTCTCCCAATTTGTAGCTTGCCATTTGACTTAATTAACATTATCATTTGAGGAACAAAGCTTTTAACCCTAATGACGTCTAATTTACCAACTTTTAAAAAATAATTTACACTTTATGTATCATAAAAATCTTTGTTGGACCCAAATTCACAAAGATCTTCATCTATTTCCTTTTAGAATCTTTGGTTCTGCTTAACTCCTTTGTTTAGGACTATGCTTCCCTGGTGGCTTAGAGGGTAAAGTGTCTGCCTGCAATGTGGGAGACTTGGGTTCGATCCCTGGGTCAGGAAGATCCCCTAGAGGAGGAAATGGCAATCCACTCCAGTACTCTTGCCTGGAAAATCCCATGGACGGAGAAGCCTGGTCGGCTACAGTCCATGGGGTCACAAAGAGTTGGACACGACTGAATGACGACACAAGACACGTCATGATTCACTTAAAACTACTTTCTAAATGTATAGTATGAGGTAAGGATTAATTTGGTATTTCAGTATCTGCTATTTAAAAGACTATCCTTTCCCCATTGAATTACCTTAGTAACTGTCAAAAAACAATTAAGCTCGTATGAGTTTACTTACATTTAAACTTTGGAATCTGAATTCTATGCCATTTTCTACTGACTCTTTTTTCCTGACTTTGGGTCATACTATCCTATTTCTTTACATGTCCAGTAATCTGATTAAAAACCATATATAGTATGCCATACACTACGCTGTTTTTGCTGTGTGCTCAGTCGCTTAGTAGTGTCCGACTCTTTGCAACCCCATGAATTACAGTCTGCCAGGCTCCTCTGTCCATGAACTTTATTCTAGTCTGCTCTTCTGAAACCTGATGGTTTCCCGTTTTAATATGTGATAAACTTGCCTGGACACAAATTGAAAATCTATAGACAGCTGAAATTTTTTTTTCTTTTTTTTTTGTGACTTTGCTGACTAACCATCTGCCCTCCATACTCATCCATAGCCCTGAGTGAGACAGAGAAATCCTGAGGGTGACCATGCATTAGAGGACATTCAGCTCTAGTAACCACTGGAGCTGTCAGCATTTATTTTTTTCTTGGGGACCAGTGAATAGCAAGCTCAGTGCCTCCAAAGGCCATGCACTGGAGCTGATTTTGACAAGAATCCTATACCAGGGGCATAGGAAAAACTCAACTAGAGTAAGACTAGAGAGGCCTTGAGGTCTCTGCTGGAGTAGGTGAGGCATCAGTGATGGTAGGGACAGGAGGCAGGCCTGAACTGCTATTCCATCCAGTTTAAAGTTTCCACAGCCACACCAACACAGTGCTGGGTTGCTATTCTATCTTTGCAGGTGGGATCCTGGGAACTATGAAGTAAAACCACATTTGATTCTGGGTTACCTTTATTTGATACTTTGTAGTGGATTGGCATAGGTTTTGAGCTCCGTCTCTGCTTATGGTCTTTCCTAGCTGTGTACAATTTGTTCCTGGGCTTGTTAGTTTCCCCTGATCAGCAGTGGGTTGCCCAACATCACAGATGTCTTGTCCCATCACTAGGTTGAGCATGGATATCAGCATCCTGTATCAGGTGCTGGGGGCAAACTGAAGTATACTGACTTTTTTTGGGGTTTCTTTCTTTCTTCTGCCTGAATCTCTGGGGGAGTATCTTTTGTGCCAGCATATCTTTGAGATCAGCCAATGATTTCAACAGAGATCAAACATAAGACAACTCCAGCCAGTGGAAGTTCTACCCTCTACCACCCAACCTGTATATGTGCTAAAGAATTCATTCAAATTTGCAGCAAATAAGTAAGCCTTCCCAGGCTTTCAATTTTGCTTGTGCTTTCTAGGGCATCCTATGTGCACTAATTGTTTTCACAGTCATCCATGAATGTGTGGAGAGTGTATCATCTCAGCCCTTCTATAGCTCTCTTGCCTCCTAAACCTCCGCCTTAAATTTTTAGCTGCTCTGCTGTTTTTCCAACCAAATCAGCCACCTTCAGTCAGTAAACCTGTGGATTTTTAACATCTTCTCTGAGGGTATAGGAACATCTTGAAACAAGAAGCATCTTGCCCAAGGCTGTAGACATTTTTAACAAGTAAATATTTTCGAGTTCTTTGCCATCTTTGATCATTTTTAAATGTTACAGTTAATAATTTTCCATATTCCAATATTTTCCCAAGTTTCCAATAATAAAACTATTAATAAAGCTTTGTAGTAGTATTTTTTGTAATGAGAATCACCCAACCAACTCAGACAGGCATTCATTAATGTAAGTAGAGTCTTAACCATATTTTAAGCACTTATGACTATGTTGTCAATATCTCACTTATCATTACATGAAATAAAACAATTGCGTCAAAAAATAGTCAACCACTGCAGGAAAAAAAATTTCTCATTTGTGAACATTAAATTTCAGATCCAATTTCTAAATAGTTGGTGGAAAAAATAAAATATATAATTAAGATAGCCTTGATCTCCTAACCTCATTAAAGTCTTCAAAATAAATATTACCTTTCTGGAAAATTTTTAAATATAAAGCTTTTTTTAGACAGAAGGATAAATTCAATTTAGACCCACATTTCCTTGGGGAAAAAAAGCATTACTGAGTATACAGTATCTCTCTTCCAATGCAGTGTTCATTTGAATGTTAAGAAAATTACCTTGAAGGCTGCTAAACAATGAAGACTCAGTAAGGCCATCACAACTGCCAGAAGGATGGTAGCTCCGTTCCGTATGTCCCATATGGTCTCTACCAGAGGAATACTGCCCACCTGCCAGTCATAGCACAGGGTAACCGGTGCAAGCAGAAGCCACACGTTGAAGGCCAAGAGGTAGGAATAAGTAAGGAATCTATAAAGAGAAGAAGAATCACTAAAACACAACTCTAGATCCATGACATTCTGAAAACATTCATTCACCATGTTTCTACTGAATAGTCTATGCTAAGAATGTTATAAAAAGAGAAGGTAAGATGGAAGACCATTCATTCATTTAGTCATGAAATTGACCATTCTGGAATACATCTAACAGCTGCTAGTCACTGTGGTAGGTGCTGGCCTTTTACTGATGAAGAATACAGAGTTTTCATCACCTATTTTTAAAAATTATCATATATATACATACATAACAACTGAGATAAATGGTATAAAAGTTTGATGAAAGTATATGACATGAAATGTTGCCTCGTTGGGTACAATTCCGTGGGTAAGAGACATTTGGATTGTCTCTTTTTAATAATGCCTCAAATCCTGCACTAGACATGAAAATGTTAACCATTTAAAATAGAGTGATCCATTTTGAACCATCTCAAAAAATCAAAATATCTCTAGTAGGGAGATAAAGTCTCTCACAAATCAAGGGGCTAACCTTCAAGAGGAGGGACATACAGCTGTCCCTGATAATAAGAATAGCCAGGTGGACCTCAGGAAGGAAAATAATGAATGGAGATATTAGTCCCGTTTCCTGACTGTGTCTAGGCAGTAAGGTAAAGCAGAAGGCATCCGAACTGATCCCCTTCCTTTCTGCACAGAGGAAATGAATTTATTTAAGTTTGTTCAATCTACACAAATCATTAAGTAGTGTTCAAGACCCTTGAGAACTGCAGAACCCCAGCATACAGCAAGCTCCATCCACATCTCTGCACTAAGGGACGACTGAACCCTAGTATGGCTTCCAGCAGCAGAAGACCATGTCCGCAGGATGCCCTAGCCACTCCATTAAAATGCTAGCCTGAGAAAGACAGATCATCATTGCCTGGAGAATTGACTTCTTTTCTGGCCAAACCATGACAAAAGGCCCCCAACTTCCATTTCCTAGAGTATTTACTGCAAAGCACTTGTGACTGGGGATATGTATCTCCTAAAACTCAGAAGTAGTTCTCAAGGACCTGAGAGTTGTTCCTTTAAAATGTGATCACCAGGAGCATGGGGCCTGGCTTCCAGTCTGCTGGAGGACAGAATCCTAACTGATAACTGCCAGCCAGTAGACACAGCCTGAATGCACTTAGAGGATCAGTCCCAGTTTGCAAACTGCCCCAGCACCCGACCATTCTCTCTTTAAAATACTTAGTCACCTCTGAGCAAATCAGGATGGAGCTCAGCTCCTGTTCCCAGGAATTACTAAATAAAGTGTGCTCTTACTGCTCTGACTCATGTCTAGCTGGGTTTATCTTTAAAATTCTATATGGAACTAAACCAAAGAGCTAGATAAATCCCTTGTTCTTAAGGAATGTAAAATCCAATACTGAAAACAAGATATATAGAATTAAAGAGTCATGAGGGCGCAGAATGTGAAAAAAAGACCTCCCGTATCACCAGGTCCTTTTAGAGGAAATCTTAGATGGGCCAAATCCAATGCTAAGAGTTAGTTCACCTTAAATTTTCAATTAAGCAGCTCTGGATTAAAATACCCTTCCCAGGCCTTCCCAAAGTATCTCCTTTCCTTCCCTCTTGTTCCAAGGTTGGCAGTGGAAAAATCATTAACAATGATCAGGAGAGGCTCAGCAATAGGGGTTATTCACTGCCTTCACTGTCAAACCCCAGCAGAGAAATGCACTAGATGTTTCAGTGGTGTTTCAAAACTCTCCTCTCTGTTGTTATTTTAAATAAAATATTAATGCACAGACAGTGCAGTATAAGGGACTTCCCTGGTGGCTCAACGGTAAAGAACCCACTTGCCAATGCAGGAGACGTGCGTTCGACCCCTGGATCGGGAAGATCCCCTGGAGAAGGAAATGGCAGCTCCAGTATTCTTGCCTGGGAAATTCCATGGAGAGAGGAGCCTGGTGGGTTACAGTCCATGTGGTTTGATGAAGCCCATGCTTTGTTATTTAACAAAAATACAAACAAAAAGTCACCATATCCCATTTAGGTTTGGGCCTATGAGAATGCCAATTCCATAGAAAGATGATTGGGTTACTTAAGGCTTCTTTTCATAGAGATTCTAAGCTGATGTTATTTACTTCTTAGCTCAGTAAAGATTCTTCACGACTTGGCTTTAAAGGAGAATGTTCAACCAACAAGCTTAGCAGGAAAATTATGCAGCTGTGTCACTCAGTTACATTCCGGCTCTTAAGAAATTATTTTAAAAAACAGTATCCCCTTCTTGATGTAATAGATCTAGGCTATGATTATAAATGTCAGCTGAAATTATTAGATGAAAAGTTGATGGGTACTTTATAATGGATGATCCGGCTGTATTAGGTGCCTAAAACTTATTAATCAATTTTAAAATCACAGAAAAGGAAACTAACATCTTGATGTCCTCTTGATGGATTATGTGCATCACCATCTATAATACAGTCTTAAAAAAGAAAATTAAACTTAAATCTAATCAAGCCCTGTATTACTAGTTTATATCAAATACAGAAAACACCAGAAGATGTTAAGTAATACCACAAGGAAGCAACACACTAAATTCAGAGTGTTACAGAACAAAATATGGCAGTTTCTTCAACAAATACATTGCAGTGGCAAAGAAAAAATGGGAGAGGGCACAAATAAATAAAAAGACTTATGAGACATATCAAACAAAATGCAGATTTTGTTTAACTGTGAATTCAAACAAACTGCTCTTAAAAATAACTGCTTATGAGACAGATAAAATTGAAATGCTGATGAAACATGCTAATAGGGAATCATTGTTAATTTGTAAGTGTGGTGACAGTACTATAGCTCTATTCTTTAAAGGTTCTTGTCTTTTAGAAATACACATAAAATATACACATTTAAATGGCATGATGACTGGGATTTGCTTCAAAATTATAGACTAAAACCAGGGGGAAGAACTGGGTGGGAATATGAATGAAATAAAATAAGACATGAACTATTATTGTTGAAACTGGATAGTGGGTACGTACAGGTTCTTTACACTATTTTCTCTCCTTTTGTACTTACTTAATATTTTCATAATAAAAATTAATTTTAAGTAGTGGTAAAGGTAACAGAATTGCCGCAGGAATGCTTTCTTATCTTATATTTGATTGCAACTTGATTATGGAATAGATGCAAATGCTATGCAGAAACTTTTAATATACAAACAGTCGGAGACGACTGAGTGACTAAACTGAACTGAACTGAATGATAAAAAACAAATATTAAGGATAACATTTTTCAAAAGTTACAATTTCAATATAGTTACTTATATATTTTTTAAATGCTCAATTTTGACTTTTTGCATGGATTATAACAAAAATAGATTTAAAAATAAAAGCAAACCATGGAACTAAAAAAACCAAACTTCCCTTTCTTATAATACTAGAAACTATTAACTTGACTCAAGACTATTAACTTAACCCTTCTTTATTTTTGTTAGGTATAGATGGTTTATAATAATATATTAGTTTCAAGTGTACAGCACAGTGATTCCAAATTTTTGTAGATCATACTCCATTTAAAGTTATTATAAAATGTTGGCTATAGTCCCTGTGCTATACAATGTATCCTTGCCACTTATTTATTTTACACATAGTAGTTTGTACCTAATTTTCTACCCTTAAATTGCCCCTCCCCTTCCCTCTTCCTACTGGCAACCATTAGTTTGCTCTCTACGTTTGTGAGTCTGTTTCATTATACTGGTTGTTTTACTTTATTTATTAGGTTTCACATATAAGTGACGACATTCAGTATTTGTTTTCCTTTGTCCGACATTTCACTAAGCATAGTACGCTCCAGGCACACCTAATCTGTTGTGAATGGCAATTTTGTTCTTTTTTACGACTGAGTAATATTACATTGTAGGTATAGGCATGGGTGTGTACGTGCTAAGTCACCAGTCATGTCCAATTCTTTGCAACCCTATGGGCCATAGCCCACCAGGCTCCTCTGTCCATGGGGTTCTCCAAGCAAGAATGCTGGAGTGGGCAACCGTGCCCTCTTCCAGGGGATCTTCCTGACCCAGGGATAGATCTGAGTCTCTCATGTCTCCTGCATTGGCAGGTGGGTTCTTTACCACTAGTGCCACCTGGGAAGCTCTGTATGTATATACCACAGCTTTTTTATTTTTATCTATTCATCCTTTGATATACACTTAAGTGGCAGCCCACTCCAGTACTCTTGCCTAGAAAATCCCATGGATGGAGGAGCCTGGTGCAGGCTACGGTCCATGGGGTCGCAAAGAGTTGGACACAACTGAGCAACTTCACTTCACTTCTTCACTTTAGGTAGCATCCATATTTGGGCTATGGAAATAATATTTCTATGAAGATAGGGGTGCATGTATCTTTTCAATTTAGTGTTTTTGGGTTTTTTTTGTTATATATACACAGGAATGGGATTGCCCTTCTTAATACATAAACATTGTCTCCAGAGACTCTGAGGCATCCACCTACCTTTTATGCATATGAATTCAAATCAATGTTGTAAGGAGACTCCTTAAATACTATTTGAAATCCTGAAACAGCATTGGAAAATTTTTCCAAATTCAGGTATAAAGAAGTCACTTGGAATCATGCCAAAAGCTAATTACATTTTAGGAGGCTAGTTGTGCTAGCTGTAGTCAGCAACTGATGTATTTCTTTTTAACTCACTGACTATGAATTACATTTCAAACCAATCATCTTGCTTATTTCTGCTAAAATTTCAGATATGAAACAATCTGTTGAGTATCTTTGTCCTGTTGGGTTTTCTTTTTTAAAACAGGAACAAAAATAAAATGAATTATTTATCAATTTTCTACCATGAATTTTACAAACAAGAGGAAATTCACTAGAATATCAAGAGCGTCTTGATAAAAGTGAAAGAGCAGAGTGAAAAAGTTGACTTAAAGCTCAACATTCAGAAAACTAAGATCATGGCATCTGGTCCCATCTCTTCATGGCAAATAGATGGAGAAACAGTGGCTGACTTTATTTT